GGGTTTCAGAAACAATGTAGATGCTGGGGCATGGCTTATGTGAGTAAAGTTCAGACAGAGCTGAAGGGTATGGGTATGTACCCAAGTGCATACACTATACAGCTCTCTACTCGCCTGAGCCTTGCCTCCCCCCGCAGGGAAAGACTTTGGCAGTGGGGAAAGGCTGAGCCCGCCCACCCCCCATGCCAGAGCCTGTCGCTGGCTGGCACACGTAGCTACACACTGCAGTGTGAATGCAGCCACCTGTTCACTGTGACATCTACCTACACACACCTTACACACCACCAAAAGTAGGTGTAGCATAGACATAGCACTAGTTACACTGCTGCAGACCAGTTCAGCCCTCGCTTACATCAGCTTGTGTCACTAAATGATCGTTTGATTTAAGCAGGGGTTACGCTGATTTAAGTGTCATTAGGAGTTTAAGTCCATCTAGTTAAACCAGTGCAATTTTCCTAAGGCTTGAAATCCAACAAATAATAATCTCCTGTATTTATGGAGTGGAATCAAAGGACCAAGGCACAGACCATAGATAGATTCCATCCCTTGGTCCCTGTGGAGCAGGGCCCCTGGCTTTTGCCATTTCTGTAAAGCTCTCCTGTAAACGTCTGTACATTCCCACTGGAACGCATATGCTTGCTGAGGGCTTTGGGCCAAATTCATCCTGGGTGTAGTTTCATTACCTGCAGTGGTGTTTGCAGCAAGGGCTAGTTTGGCCCTATTGCATTTAAAGGGGCTCTCTCAAGATAAAAATCACCTTTGTGAAAGAATAATCCTACCCATCTCACTGAGAACATGGAGAGGACTCAACCAAGGAGAATGCAGGTTATTTTGCCCATAGTGATGCTAAGGTGGATGGGACAATTTCTATTTTCTTTCTAGTCAGTTTTACTTTTCAGGACTCATTCACCAGAGCGGTTACATGCTGACTTCTACCTGCCTTGGGTACCAGCCTGGCCCCCTGTAGCATCTGCAAAACTAATAGTCTTTGATGTATTCTGTGACAGTGTGAGGTTCTGCTCCCCTCTTCTCTTCTGCCAACACAGGCTGGTCAGAGACCTTTTGTTGTTAACCACCACACTGTAGCTTATTTACAATGCTCTTCTTCTCCCCCCCCACCCCTTCGCTGTCCCATACACCACATGGTTTGCAGCATCCACAGCTCCTCTGCGAAGGAGTGGAAAGAGGAGAGATCTCTCCACCCAGAAAGCCTTCTTGGTTCTGACTCTGCTACGCTGCTTCTCCCACAACATGTCTTTCCTGTGCTACCTTCTCCCCTCTGCATCCAGGGGCTAGTTAGCTCTTTAGTGCTCCCCAGTCCATGCTAATCCGCTAATGAGGCACAATCAGGTCCAGGTGGGGGGAATTAATTGGTGTTTAAGTGAGCAGAGTGCAGAACCAGCTTTTGGTTCCCAGCACTCTATCACAAATTCATCCACACAACACCTCTGTGCAGCAGAGCAGGACATGCAGCAGGGGAACTGAGGCCCAAAGAGACTCAGGCCCCACTCCTCAAAGGGATTTAGCTGCTGAACTCCTCCTGATTTCAATGAGGAGTTGGGCCCAAGTGACTTGCCCAAGGTCCCACAGGCTGAGCAAAGCCAGGAATTGAATTCCAGTGTCCTGAGACCCAGACTAGCCCCTAACCATGAAGCCATCAGGAGTGTGTGTGTGTGGGGGGGGAATTAATTGAATTTCAGACAACAAAAAAGAATGGTGGTTTTATTTGTATTTTTAAAATCATGACAATGTTTCTATCCATGTGAGAGCCTAGGACCCACTTTCCTTTACACAAACCCCTAAAGCCTTGGTACTAGGTTACTATGACAGCTACAGCATCGCACAGCAGCGATTCACAACCACTGCTCCCAGCCAGCTGTGCCACTTCAGCCTCTAAGGCCAGCACTCACCTATGTAACAAGGGGGATGAGGGGGTGGGGAATGGAGTGAAATGTACTAGTCCATTTCCTGCAGGTGCCCTCAGTGAGACATCAAAAAGAAAGTAAAACACTGGGGGATAAATCCACCTCTTTCCCCAGTGGGAACAGTATTACAGTGGCCCCAGCTGAGATCAGGCCCCCATTGTTGGCACTGTATAGACGCACCATAAGAGAGAGTTCCTGCTCCAGAGAGAGAAAATTACACAAGCTGTGGACCCAGCGCTACAAACCATGCTCCCTTGGAGTCCATAGGACTCCCATGTACAGTGGGCTCGCAGGTTGTGGTGTGTGCAGCTATGTAACTGATAGGAGATTTTGCTATGCTGCA